CAAGCACAAGGTTTATCGGCCGCCGGTTGCACGATGTGTCTTGGCGGCGGAACGCTCATCTGAGACTTGCGTCGGTCAGTTAAATCTGCGGGCTGGCGGACAAGCCATAGGTTCGCCGTCCTTCACGAGCATCGCTACCGCAAAGCTGAACTGCCTTCATTCTCACCGAGCCAGTCCTTCGCGGAGAGGCACCGCGCGGACTGGATAGCGCGGCACGAGCGGCGGCGCTTGAGGCAGACCCATCGGTTCCACGCCGCGTTTGTGGCGGCGGCCGGCGCGGCGGTGGTCAGGTCACCGCCGACGACGACGCCGCCAACACCTTGGCCATCCGCATCGAGACGCCGGTCTCCCTGGCGCGCAACGCGCTGCGAGCAGACATCGCGCCGCCGCCGGCAGCCGATCTCGGGGCGTTTTCGTCGTCGGTGGCGATCTATCGCTCGCTCGGCGGCTGCCGGACGGTGGCCGGAGGCGGCGGCGCATCGCTGTGGGCCGAGGCGCGTGCGGTGCGGGCCGAGTTGGTCCGCGGCATGAGCCGTGCGGCGAGGCTGCCGGGCCTCATGCCGCTGGTACCGGCGCCGGCGAGCCGATGGATGGCGGCGGAGAAGGCGGCGCTGGCGGCGGCTGCCGATCTACGCGAGTCCACGGTGGAGGTGTCCAACCTCGGCGCAGCTGATGCGCTGGCGGCGCCGACCTCGGGCGCGGTCATCGAGTCGGCGGTGTGGGGCCAGTCGGCCGCGTGCTCAAACGGCCTCCTTGCTCTGCGGACGATGACACTCGGCGGTGAGCTCTCTGCCGTCGTCTGCTACGCTGCCGAGCTGGTCGATGCCGACCTCGTCGCCGCCTTTGCCCGCGCCTGGCTGGCCGCACTTGTGGCCATGACCGCTGAGCACAAGCCATAGTCGGTATAGCAGCTCGCCGGCGATAGCAACAGCCAGGAGCAGGAGATGGATGTGGGGAGGATGTGTGGTTTGAGGCCAAATAAAAAGGACCCGCCACTGCACACAAGACGATGTGCGATGATGAGCTGGGTGGGGCGGATAGTAGCGGGCTGAGAGGGAGGGTGTGGTTTGAGACAAAAAGATAAAAAAAAAAGAATGCGTTCATCTGTCCCCCAAAGTGCGACGATGTGTATGTGTGTGTGTGTGTGTGTGTGTGTGTGTGTGTGGGTGGGTGGGTGTGGGTGCATGCATGCATGCATGCATGCAAGGAGGGTGTGTAGCTGGGCAAAAATAAAAAAGAATGCGTTACTCGGTATTCCCGTGTGGTCCCCCACCACAGTACTAACCAAGCCTCATGCTGCTTGACTTCCGAGAGCGAGACGGGATCGGGTATTTTCAGCATAGGATGAACGCATTCAAACCCAGAGAGTCTGGCTGAGCATTTTATTGGTTCGACTGCCAAATTGTCCCCTCGCCAAATGGGTTTGTACCCCCTACCCCCTTGGGCATGCAGGCTGGTGGTCAAAGGGCGCGAGGAGCGGGTTTTAGGCGACAGCGCGGCCCGATGCGCCGGCAATGAGCTTGAGGACAAGCAGCAGGGTCTTGAAGACCTCGTCCTCGATGAGGAAGAGGAGGGCGTTGCGGGAGACGGACTGGAGGAGCTTGACGCCGATGCCGGCGTAGAGGGCCGGCAGACCGCCGGTGGCGTAGATGTCGGTGAGGATGGCGCGGGCCGAGGCTGGGCGGGCCGAGGCCGAGGCTGAGCTGCCAGCGGCGATGTTGCGGCGCGACTTGTCGGCCTGCATGCGCGACTTGGCGACGACGTAGGGGTAGGTGGCGAGGGTGGCGATGGTCTTGGCCAGGGCGCCGAGAAGGAAGCGCGAGAGGCGCGAGAGCGGGGCAAAGGCCGGCTTGAGCGACTCGAAGATGGTGTAGGTGATGATGGGGTTGACGACGAGGACCATGGCCGGGGCCAGGCCCTTGTACAGCGCGCCCAGGCCCTCGTCGGCCACGATGCGGGCAAGAGTGGCGAGCAGGCCGGCGTCTGCGACAGCGTCTGCGTCTGCGTCTGCGTCTGCGGCAGCCTTGCGGTCGGTGATGCAGCGGTTGTTGACGACCCAGATGGGGTTGGTGACGAGGACGTTGACCATGCCTGCGGCGGCGGCGAGGCCGAGGTGAGCCAGCGGTGGGAGGGCGGCACCGGTGGCAGCGCCCGTGGCGGCGCGGTATGCGGAGCGGGCGGAGGAGAAGGCTAGGTAGAAGACGCCCTCGGAGACGGCGATGCCAACGAGGGCCGGGCGGAGGCCGGCGTACAGCTCGGCGAGCGAGGGCGTGGACGGTGTGGAGGGCGTGGACGGTGTGGCGGGCGTGGACGGTGTGGCGGTCTGGGCCAGGAGGGCGAGGGTGGAGAGGGGGTAGGTGGCGGTCATGGCCACCACGCCCGCTGTGGCGCCTGACACGGCGCGGAGGAGGGAGGACATTGGGGTTGGTTGGTTGCGGTGGGGGGGGGGGGGGGGAGGGGAGTGGGTGCCTGACGGGGATCGGGTGGGAGGGGA